ATTATTGTTGTTAATTTTTTTAGTGGCTGATGCCACTTTCTTTTTGTGAGTACTAAAATATATTTGTTGTAAAAATATTTTTCAGTCTACTTTTTAATGCTTAATTTCTTCTTTAAAAGTAATTATTCTTTTTTTGCATTTAACTCTTAAGCATCATGAGATAATTAAATTACAAATAAATGATAAATTCAAATTTATCTTAGTACATACAGTTTTGAAACCTTAAGAAGTTTGGAACACTGTGCTTTAGATACAGCAATAAATATAATCTGCAAAATATAAGTCAGTCACTACTTTAAAACACACATTTTCCTTTTACCTTCCTAGAATAAACCCACACCCATTCCTAATCCATTAGGTATGGCAATATCTGCCTGGAAGTAAGAACACTTAGCTGCCTCACAAGGTGGGACTCTGCAAGTCAGTCACTCCCACAGAAGCAGGAAATGATTCTGCTTCTTTCACATCTTATTGCTCTCCATTCAGTGGACAAGGCTGCATTATCTGAGACAGGACGAAGAGAGAGGAAAGATGGAAAGGAAAAGAATTAACATTTGCTGAGAATCTATAATGTTCTGCATCTTCCTTACTGCCCATAAACGCTGCAGGGTGGACATTACCAACCTTCTGTAACAGCTGAAGCACACAATGAACCGGTGAATAGGAATAAAATTCAAAAGCAAGAGTCACAGAACCACTGGAACCTGAGTGTCATGGCGCAATGCATGTATCGCCAATGAACCAGGTGGAATGAGAACAAGAATCCCGTCTGGGGTGGACACCACACAGGGCAGCATGAGCTGATGGGTTCACATGTCAGGTGTTCATCCTCTTGATATCCGAGAGAGCGGTAGTGACACACTCAACTAAGAATCCCAGATATCCCAGCATGTCAGGGATGGAAATGGGATTGCCTTTAAGAACAGCCTAACCAGAAGATGATTGTATTAAAGGCATCGCATTAGTTTTCTGTTGCTGCAGTAACAGATCACCACAAATTTAGTGGTTTAAAATGAGACAAATTTATTACAGTTCTAGAGGTCAGAAGTCTGATGTGGGTTTTATAGAGTTAAAATCTCCTCGGATTCTGACTCTCCTGCCTTCCTCTTTCTCTCATGAGGCCCCTTGTGATTACATTGAGCCCACATAGACAATCCAGGAGAATCTCCCCATCTCAAGGTCACATCAGCAAAGTCCTCTTTGCCATATAAGGAAAATCACCTAGATTCTGGGAATTAGGACACAGACATCATTGGGGGGCCATTGTTCTGCATATCACAGACACCTAGTGTTCCCTTTTCTTCTATGTAATCCAAGATCTTATAGTTTCACTATCCAGGGCATTAAAATCTGAACTGCTGAGGCCACACATTCCCATATGCCCTTGACTTAACAACTGAATTTCCTTGACTTACAGTTACACATTTTCAATTCTAGGTTGAAGCAATGTGCCTGAAAGCAGAGCACACTTTGTTACCAACACTGAAGCACAGTTGTGTCCACGGTTTTTGGTATCCACAGTTGTGAGGATTGGTTCTGGAACCTACTGAGGATACCAAAAACTGAGGATGCTCAAGTACCATATCCCAGCATATCCAGGGTTCCTTACCTGCAGATTCAACCAACCACAGATCATGTAGTATTGGAGTACCTATTTAGTGAAAAAAATTCCCATATTAAGTGGACCCTCCCATATTAAGTTCAAACCTGTGTTGTTCAAGGGTTGACTGTAATCATAATTTTGAGCAGGAAGGCATTTCAATGAGCTTGAGTCCAGTTTCCTGGATAACGCCAGCCTCAGGAACAATCAGTAGCTGAGATAAAATTGTAGAGGGCTATGACCCAGTTACCATACAGTTTGGTAATGGCAACCCATTCCATTGCCTTGCTCCTCCCCCAGTTCAATCCAGGAACTATGTTTCCTCATTTTAGGAACTCGGTATCAGGAGGGACCAATTCCTTGGGTTCTACCACTACTGTTTCCACGGGACTCAGGTTCATGTTCTACTTCTGTCATGGCACTGGCCGCCATGGCCTCCATCACGGGCTTCTAACCCTCCTCCAGCCCTCCCTACTCTCCCCTCTTCCCCGGTTTTCAAAATGCTCCACTTTATACCATGGGAGACATCCTTGCAAAGTGCCAGCTGACTCAGGCAAGGATATAGTTAAAGAGCTTTGTATGTTAAGACTCTGTCAGATCTCAAACGTCATAGTAAAGAGTTAGAATTTGATTCTAAGTAGTATGGGAATCAGGCTTTGGACTTTGATTTATGAGCCATTCACAGAGCCTAGAGACTACCTTCCAATTCTGGGGCTAGCTTTTGTAATGGAAACTCTATTGCTGTGACTGAGTCTCATTCATTGCCATGTCTTCTGCATGGCCAACAGAGTGTTTTCTACAAAGCACGTATCTACTAAATGTTCATTGGCTGAAAAAAATAAAAGAACAATACTAAAGGAGAAGTTTAAGAAAAAGATGGTAGAGAGGTCAGTGAGGAAGACTTGGATATTTTCTCATTTTCCCTTTCTCAGTTCACTTCTGGATTTGTAGAGCAAATCCCTTCAGAGGATTTTGGCAAGAAATTTTATTTCCACTTACTAGATTTCATTTTCTAGATTATTTCATGGGGCAGAAATGCTTTATTTCTCACCTAATAACTATTTTTTTCCTTCCCTCATAGCATCAGAAATTTCCTTTCTTTGGTGAAGCTGAGGTTGCTGAATCAGGCTTCAGGAAAGTTCTCTTTTACTGGTTCTTCCTCCTCTCTGCTTCTTTCTCCTTGCTGCTTCCTGGAATATGTGTGGTTTGACTGGAACTCCAGCAGCCATTTTGGAACCGTTAAAGAATTATGAAGAAAATCACAGCACCCTTGACTCTAGCATACTTGAGTCATGGACTCACAGCCAGAAATTGCCTCATTTAGACTTTGTTTTGCTTAAGTAAAATAAATCCTAATGGGTAAACACATTTACTGCCAAATTCAAACTCTGAGAGATATACCTTAACATAGTCTGACACTTCATTCACTACAGCCCTGTGTGGCAGAAGGAAGAGGGGGCCGTGCCCATTCCACTTGGTCCCCTACATTTCCCAGCCATTACAAGGGGTTGTCTGCTTAGTTCTGGCTAATGGGCTGCTGTGTCCTTTTAGGCTGAAGCATAGAAGTTTCTCAAAAAGATGGAGCCAGGAAATCAAAGCAGCCTGCATTGCATAGTCACTGCATTGAGAACAGCTGCCCTGAATAGCTCCCCAGGTCCAGACTGGATTTCACTGGAGCAGTAAAGAAACTTGTTACAGCAAGCACAAAGGTAGCTGAGATTGTTTTTACAGAAGCAAAGTCTACCCTATCCTGACAGGTGCAGTATATTCATGAACTATAACTGATCTCAACTATAATTTGGGAATACCCAGAATTGTATGCCAAATATTACATTTATTTGATTATGTGTACCTTTTCCTGAGATGAGGGAAGGTAGATTTCAGCATATTTTTCAATGTAATTATGATCTAAAAATCATTAAGAACCATTGACTTACAGGATAAATCCTAAATGCTAAATATCTTTTTTGGGTAGCATTTATTTAACTGTTCTCCTTTGTGACATTCTTTCTTGTTTGCCCTAAACTCTCATTTCCATGTAGAGGAAAAAATTTGGGCTAAAATCTAGATGATTTGGATTTAAAGCGTGGCAAAAAGTTTTTTTTTTTTTACTAGCTATATAACGTCATGCAAATTACTTTACTTCTCTGAGACCCAGTTTCGTTATCTTAAAATGGGCAGAATACTGGATTAACATGAGTTCTCTATATATGTTTTTACACA